TTTCAACTCGGAGATTCCGAAAACGTAGTTTGCCGATAATACTCCAAATCGAGAATGCTTGAACGATTACGCGAGAGGCTGGCGTAAAGCGTTGCGTCCAGCTCCGGAAAGAGATTGAAGTTACGCGAAGAAACGTACACTCATGACTCATGTTTATTGTACGTGCAAGTAAAATCGCGCGATTACCTCGCTGTCAGAGTCCGAGCTCGCGTCCTCCCCGTAAAGCGCGCGCCACTCCAGGACGTTCAAAACGTGCGCGGTGATCGCCTTCGTCTCGGCGATCTCGCTCGCAGCGACGTCGATCCTGTGCTGGACGTCAGCGAGCTGCTTCAGCAGATGCTCCTCGACGGGATTGACCGGTGCCGGCGACGACGCCTCCTCGTCGCTGATAGCGAACATGTCCTCGTCACCGGACTCCATTGTCCTTCCTGCTTACGCCTTACGCCTACGTTCGCGATTACGTCGATTATGCGTACCTCCGTTCCCAGACGATAACTTTCCGAGTTTCTACTCCGTGCGAAAATCACGAGAACAAGCTAGCCGACGCGAGCAAACCTGGACACTGGAGCGATCAGCGAACGCGCGAACTGGCGGGCGGCCGCCGGCGGGCTCTCGTCGTTGCGAAAATTTCAAACTTGAGACTTGAGATCAGATCCGCGCAGGACAGCCAACGTGATAGAACGTGATAGAACGTGATAGAACTCGATAATCTCGATACCCTCAATACCGACGGTAGATCGCGCGAATCGAGCCGGTAATGTCGGTAACGTCTGCGCTCTACGATTACCACCTCGGGCTTAGGGCTGACGGGCTCCACCTGACCCACCTGACACCTGACCTGACAATTCGCGGAGGGTTTGCTATTTGCTTACGGTCGCGAATCTTCGATGAGCACCTCGTCGACGGTTGCGTCGCGGTAACGTGGAACGTCGCTGCTGCGGGCCAATTGCTTCCCTAGCAACCCATCCGTTCGCCCGCCTGCCCACCCGCCCGTCCGTCCGCCCGCCCGTCCGTCCGTCCGTCCGTCTGTCTGTCTGTCTATCCTCTCGTCCGTCCGGTCCGTCCCCGTTCGGGCCCGTTGCGAAGTCAGTGGATTGTGGCGTGCGTACAGCCGGGACGTTCACTGGGTGAGATGTGCCTGCCCGTCCGTCGCAACTGCGTCGCGGGGCCTGTCGTCGGACGGCGCGACAGCGTGAAAATGGCGGTGTGAAGAGATGGCAGGACGCAGATCGACGCTGTCGAATGCGGCGGACTCGCTGCCGGGATCGGGCAGCGGCAGCGGCAGCGGCGGCGGCGGCGGCAGCGGTGGTGGCGGCGGCGGTGGAGGCGTCGGCGATCCGCTACGCGAGCTCTTCGAGGCCTGCAAGACCGGCGATCTCGCCAAGGTGAAGGCGTTGGTCAACCCGAAGACGGTCAACGCCCGCGACACTGCCGGACGCAAGTCCACCCCCCTGCACTTTGCAGCTGGTGAGTGTCTCGGCGACACGAGACCCGTCCTTCGATCTCCGCTTTCCTCGTTCCCAGCCGTTAGTGTCGTTACTCCTCGAATCGCATTCTCGAGGGATGCCGAGGCCCTCGTAAACACGTGGACTTGGGTGGCCGAGGGAGGTTAATGAGCCAGCGAGTCACGTTCAGCTGATCGCGACTCGTCGAGCGGAGCTGTCAAGTGGTAATCGTGTGCGATGACTTCCTCAACATCGACGCATGATTATTGTTGAGAGCCCACGTGACAGAGTCTTATATGCGTGGGGAGTTTCTTTAATGAGGATAGGGAAAGATAAAGAAATACATTTTGAATAGGTTATTGAAAGATATTTGTTAACTGCATCTTTTTGACGTTACTCCGTTTAGGAACGCCAATATTTTTAGTAACTTTTTTTAATTAGCAGTTTGTGTTGTAATATTTTCAAGATTATTATAAATATATAACTGAGTTGAGAAATAGTTCGAACTGGAATATATAATTATATTGAATAAATAATTCATATCTTTGTAACAAAAATGATTATATTAGTGCTGTTCAATAAGGAAATTTTTATGAATTTTGAACACATAGGAACTTGTTATAACTTATTAGAGCTTAACGAATTTGACAGGTATGATTACGTATGTGATTTAACTGCTTATAAGTATTTATTATTCTTATCTCACTACTTTGTGGATCTTTGTATTTTATAGTTTTTTTATGCTTAGTTATGTAAAATGTATATATTATTTTATTTTTAGTGGCTATTATAAAACTATTATAAAAATGTTACATAGTACTTAAAAATTTCTTGTAGGATATGGTAGGAAAGACGTTGTAGAATTTCTTCTGTCGGCCGGTGCGTCGATCCAAGCACGCGACGACGGTGGTCTACATCCGTTACACAATGCATGTTCCTTTGGACATTGTGATGTTGTGAGATTACTCTTAGAAGCAGGAGCGAGTCCAAATACGAGAGATAATTGGAATTTTACGCCTTTGCACGAGGCAGCGATCAAGGTGCTTATTTTGTACATTTTACTTATGCATAAAGTTACTTTTCTTTGTCTGATGCTAAGAGCGGAAGATGGAAATGGTGTCTAACTTTTTCATCTTCATTTGTACTTGACAGGGTAAAATAGACGTATGTATTACTCTGCTACAGCACGGAGCAGATGTAAACATTAGGAATACAGAAGGAAAGACTGCATTAGAAGTAGCAGATGTCTCTACAAAACCGGTACTGACAGGAGAATATAGGAAAGATGAACTCTTAGAAGCGGCTAGATCTGGAAACGAAGAGCGATTGTTGCAGTTGCTAAATCCTCTTAATGTCAATTGTCACGCCAGTGACGGAAGAAGATCTACGCCTTTACATTTAGCGGCTGGATATAATAGATCTAGAGTTGTACAGATTCTTCTTCAGAATGGCGCAGATGTGCATGCCAAGGATAAAGGGTTAGTATGTGTGTGGACACATTTAACTTATAGATTAATATATAATAAGATAAAACAGGTCGTTTCTCATTTTATTCTATTCATAGTATTTGCTTTTTACTTTCATTTTATTCACTGTAGTCTTTACCATTCAAGCCATATATTAAAATCCATTGTAATTTCCTAATTGATTCGTTTACAGAGGTCTCGTGCCGCTTCATAACGCTTGTTCGTATGGTCACTTTGAAGTAACCGAGGCACTTCTGAAACACGGTGCCGCCGTTAACGCCAGTGATCTCTGGACATTTACTCCATTGCACGAAGCCGCGAGTAAGTCCAGAGCAGAGGTCTGTTCCTTGCTATTGAGCGAAGGCGCGGACCCGACGCAATTAAACTGCCATAGTAAGAGCGCCATTGACGTGGCACCGACTCTTGAATTACAAGAAAGACTAGCATGTGAGTTCTGTGAGCGCATTTATCGTACTTTCTATTGTTATCATTCGATTCGTAAACATTATAATCGAGCATATTTTACAATCAATGTCTAATGCATGATTTACAGACGAATATAAGGGTCATTGCCTACTGGACGCCTGCAGGCAGGCAGATCTTACTAAGCTTAAAAAGTATCTGTCCCAGGAGATTGTTAATTTCAAGCATCCTTACACCGGCGACACACCGATGCATTGCGCAGTAGCGTCACCATATCCGAAGCGAAAGCAAGTTATCGAGGCCTTGATTCGAAAGAATGCTGCCATGAATGAAAAAAATAAAGACTTCCTTACGCCGCTTCACATAGCGACCGATCACTCGCATTACGACGCGATGGACATATTACTGCGGCATAATGCGAAAGTCAACGCGCTAGACGGCTTAGGACAAACTGCACTGCATAGGTATCTTTGTTCTGGAAATCCACTTGTTTCAATTTCGTCGTAAGAAATGAGTGAGTCAGTTTTAATATTGTTCGTTCATAATACGTCAATTAATTATTTCCTTACTAGGTGTGCTAGAGAGGATAACGTACAAGCTTGCAGAATACTCTTGTCGTATAATATCGATCCTTCAATAGTGTCCCTTCAAGGGTACACCGCAGCACAAATTTCCGCCGAGAATGTATTGAAAATATTGCAAGGTAAGTTACTTGATTCGATTTCGCAATTTATTTTGGGGGGGAATATATTTTCATTTTTATGTTTAACTCCATAGATCCACCGAATGGAACCGACGATGTGGAAGCGCAACTCTTGGAGGCGAGCAAATCGGGAGATCTTGCTGCAGTAGAAAGAATTTTGCAACCCAATCCACATGCTGTGAATTGCCGTGATTTGGACGGGAGGCACTCGACTCCACTGCATTTTGCAGCGGGTTTTAATAGAGTGCCGGTTGTAGAGTATCTATTAGCACATGGTGCAGATGTGCATGCCAAAGATAAAGGGTAATTAATTCAATATTAATGCAATAGAATATGAGTCCATTAATTAATATATAATTTCTTATTAGTTTCTCTTTAATGTTCCATAATTCAATATTTATCTTTATGTGTGATTTACGATACTTTTGATAACATTGCATGTTATATTCATTTTGATATAGTGGGTTGGTTCCTCTCCACAACGCTTGCTCTTACGGTCATTACGAGGTTACGGAATTATTAGTAAAACACGGGGCGTCCGTGAATGTTGCCGATTTGTGGAAATTTACGCCTCTTCACGAAGCCGCCGCCAAGGGCAAGTACGAAATAGTCCGATTACTGTTGAGACACGGAGCGGATGCCACTAAAAAGAACAGAGATGGTGCGACGCCACTAGACTTGGTAAGAGATGGTGATCAGGACGTAGCGGATCTCTTACGTGGAAATAGTGCTCTTCTGGATGCGGCGAAGAAGGGTAATTTAGCCAGAGTTCAGAGACTGGTTACGCAAGACAACATCAACTGCCGGGATGCCCAGGGACGCAATAGTACTCCATTACATTTAGCTGGTAAATATATCAAATATAATATTTGAGGTCAAATAAAGGGATTATGTACATTTATAAAGAAGTAGCAATGTTTTGTATTTATACATGAACTGCGCTTTTCTCAACACAGCGGGATACAATAACTTGGAAGTGGCTGAATTCTTGCTCGAACGTGGAGCCGATGTAAATGCGCAAGATAAAGGCGGCCTTATTCCCCTGCATAACGCGTCGAGTTACGGTCATCTGGATATTGCAGCCTTGCTCATTAAATACAATACTGTGGTAAATGCGACTGATAAATGGGGATTCACGCCACTGCATGAAGCTGCGCAAAAGGGTCGAACGCAGTTGTGTGCCCTTTTGCTTGCTCACGGCGCCGATCCCTTTCTGAAAAATCAGGAAGGACAGACTCCAGTGGATTTGGCCAGCGCGGACGATGTAAGATGTTTGTTACAAGATGCTATGGCTTCTCAGCAAATTGTTCCATCGGTACCGTCGGGCAATATGGTGAACAGTGCTGGTAGTAATTCTATTAACAGTAGACCGCCTAGTATCGTATCTGGTAAGTAGAACTGTAGATATACGTTTACACAGATGATATCTTTATTCTTATTATATGTTTTTTATTCTTTTTTTTTTTTAGTTCCTGTTACACCGCCACCGCCCCTCACTCAAGAAACAGTCATTATGCCATCTGGCGCAGCCATGACTCTATGCGTGCCATTGGCTCGTCCGACGTCGTGTCTGAGTCCAATGCCGCCGAGCGAGCCATGCTCTGAAAAAGAATCCAAAGATTTATGTAAAGAACACAACGGTACCATCACCACCGTCGCTGGTTTCCTGCAGAGTCTCGGTTTGGAGCACTTACTCGAGCTGTTCGAACGCGAGCAAATCACTTTGGATATACTAGCGGAAATGGGTCACGAGGATTTGAAGCAAGTCGGAGTGTCGGCTTACGGTTA